AAAAACAAGTAAAATGAGCAAGGAGAGGTTGGCAGAAACAAGGCACAAATGGTTGCACAAGGTTATAGTCAACAAGAAGGAATTTATTATAACAGAACTTTTGTCCTAGTCGCCAGGTTAGAATTAGATTATTAATTTCTTTTGATGTTCAACATAACATCTCATTATATCAAATGGAAGTTAAAAGTGAATTTTTAAATGGTTACACAAAAGAAGAAGTTTATGTCCATCAACCTCCGGGTTTTGTTGACTCAAAATATCCAGAACATGTTTTTAAACTGAAAAAGTCTCTGTATGGTCTGAAACAAGCTCCCAGAGCTTGGTATGAACGTCTAAGTAACTTTCTTTTAGAAAAGAATTTTACCAGAAGGAAAGTGGACACTACCTTATTCAGAAAAACACTTAAAAATGACATTTTAATTTGTCAAATATATGTAGATGATATTATTTTTGGAACTTCTAATGTCTCTCTTGGAAGAGAATTTTCTGAGTCTATGCAGGCTGAATTTGAGATGAGCATGATGGGAGAACTAAAATTCTTTCTGGGAATTCAAATAAATCAGACTCCAAAAGATACTTACATACATCAAACAAAGTATGTTAAAGAACTTCTGAAGAAATTCCAGCTATCAGAAAGTAAAGAAGAAAAGACACCAATGTATCCTACATGCATTTTAGGAAAAGATGAGGTAAGTAAGAAAGTAGATCAGAAACTCTACAGAGGTATGATTGGATCTCTTCTCTATCTGAATGCATCTAGACCAGATATATTATTCAGTGTATGTTTATGTGCAAGATTCCAATCAGATCCTAGAGAATCTCACTTAATTGTTGTTAAGCGAATTTTGAGGTATCTGAAAGGTGCTACTAACTTTGGACTATGTTACAGAAGATCCAAAGAGTTTAAACTAGTAGGTTATTGTGGTGCTGACTTTGCTGGAGATAGAATAGAATGAAAAAGCACCTCTGGAAGCTGTCAGTTTCTAGGTGATAACATTATCTCATGGTACAGCAAGAAGCAAGCCACTATTGCACTATCAACAACTGAAGCAGAATATACATTTGCTGCTGGATGTAGCACTCAGATGATCTGGATGAAGAGCCAACTGAAACATTATCACCTCTATGAAAGTAAGATTCATATCTTATATGATAATACCTCTGCTATTTGTCTTTCAAAAAATCCTATCTTACATTCTAAGGCAAAACATATAGAAATTAAACATCTTTTCATAAGGGACTATATTCAGAAAGGAATTTTAAGTTTAAACTTCATAGACACAGATCATCAATGGGATGATATTTTTACTAAACCTCTTTCTGAAGATAAATTTAAATTCATTATGAAAAACATCAGTATAGAACTTTGTCCTGAATGAATTTTTTTCTATATATATGTTTTCAGAATGTTCTGAAATGAATGTTCTAATTAACAAATCTTCAGAAGTTAGAAGAGGAGTTACTTCAGAAACCATCTATAATATTCTGAAATGTGTCTAACGTTTCATTACAAAAATGGTTCAGAAGTTCATTACATTAAAACAGCTGTCACACACTATCCTTAGAAGTTGAACGCGTGTTTCAACTCTGAAAGGTCACGCATGCGTGCACTGTTATTGAGACGTCGTTCCTAGGTAACTGTTTAGATTTGATCAACTCTCACGCATCCCCTCAATGTCAAATCTCATTAATTGCTTGTAATGATTAATTTTTTTTAAATTTAATTGTTCTAAATTCTTTAACTGTTTTATTGCTTTAAAATTCTTTTTCATAAGCTATAAATATTTTGCAAAATTCCTTTTTACTTTTTACTCTCTCTCTTTTTAAAATCCTAAACCAAAGCGTTCTAAATGGCTTCATCTTCATCCCCTTCCAAAAGCATTCCTTTATTTTCCCCATTTTTTGTACTTCTGTCCTTTGACATCTTCTATATAAAAATCTTTTGAATCTCTTTTATTTTTTTTGCTTTTTGATTATGACAAAAAGGGGGAGAAAATGTGATTTTGGTCTGATCCATGATAGCAGTTATGGGACTAAATCTCAAACATTTCTAACAAAATACAATTTTTTTTCCTGTTTAAGAGATATGCAGGTACCTCAAGACTCTGAAAGACTAAGCTCTAAACATCGTCTGGTAAAGACCTGCTAAAGAAACTCTGAAGAAAATGATCAAAACCTCTTAAAGAAACTCTGAAAGAAAAATGTCCCAAAGCTCTGAAGAACAATCTCAGGAAGTTTCTCTTATGCATTTAAGTTCTTTTATTATTTATTTCAGAAGAAGAAATATTTATCTCAGGGGGAGATTCTCACTCTTGTACAAAATTTCTTAAAAATCAAAATCTGAATTGTTTTGTCATCATCAAAAAGGGGGAGATTGTTAGAACAAGTTTGGTTCTAATCATATCTTAGAGTTTTGATGATAATAATGAAATAAATTTTGTATAATATATACTCTAATGTGCATGTTTTCTAATTTAGATGATATTCTGACTCAAGCATTCTCAAAAGTGAAACATCATTCTACGCTGAGCAGAAAAAAGATAAAGAAGTTCCTAAGAAACTTTATGTAAACGCAAGTCTGAAGCAAACTCTGAAGGAAGCACTCCAAGGAAAACTCTGATAAAAAGTAATCTTAAGCAACCTCTGATAAAGCTAGCTGAAGCAAATATTTGAAAGAAGCACGCTGAAAGCAATATCTGATAATGCAAGCTGAAGCAATCTTTGATGAACATAAAATGAAGAAAACTCTGACAGAAGAAGTGATATAGCAAACTCTGATAGAAGAAAAGTTAAAGCAAACTCTGATAGAAGAAAAGTTAAAGCAAACTCTGATAGAAGAAAAGTCAAAGCAAACTCTGATGTTGCAACGATGCAAGCAAACTCTTAAACTTCCAGAGACAAGCACTGACAGTATCGTTGGTCATTTAATGCTAAGACGGCTAACGCACTTAAGTGGTACTACGCACGAGAGCATTGGAAACATAAAGGTCAAGTTAACACACATCATTAATGCATGCTCTCTCTTCAAGGCAGTAACAATCAAAATTTGAAGCTATATATAGAAGACCATTTGTTTCAAAGCAAGGTTACTGATCCACGCAAAATATACTGAAGCTCACTATTTTCATTCTTGTAAACTCTTTGTATATAGTGGGTAATTCTTAAGTACTGGGCTAAAATCTTAGTGATAAATCACAGTTTGTGATATAGCTTATTAGAAGCATTCTGATTCATTATTGTTAAGAGAATCTTTGTAATTGTTCCTTGAGAGACTAGTTGGGTCAAATTTCTCAAGAGGGCTATAACTAGTTGAGTCTTAGAGGTGTTAGTCACAACAGTTTGACTATGTATTGTAATTGTTCCTTGAGAGACCAGTTGAGTCAGATTTCTCAAGAGGGCTAGGACTAGTTGAGTCTTAGAGGTGTTAGTCACTTGCAGTTGGCTTGTGCATTGTATTGTTAGTCACAACAGTTTAGTTGTGCATTTGTAATCAATTTTGATTATAGTGGATTAAGTCCTCGTTGAGAGAGGTAAAATCACCTTGGCGGATGGACTAGAGTAGTTTGAGTTTCAAACGAACCAGGATAAAATTATCTGTGTCCTTCCATTATTATTGCGCGAGAAAAAGGAAAAACTTATTCAATCCCCCCCCCTTTTCTAAGTGTTTTCTCACCCTTCACTATTCTCTTGGATGCTTCTTAATGATGGTTTAAAAATCAATGGAGCTTTATCTTAACGACACCTCACAGACCCTTATTGTCTTGATTGTAGCAACACAAAATAGACGATGCTTCACACTATTCGTGACTACCCTACTATTAGACCCATTTGGATGGCATTGATGGACTGAAAGCATTGAGATCAGTTTTGTGCAACTCGTGGTCATGAATGGATTAAAATTAATTTGTAACCAAGATATTTCAATCAGAATGTGATGAGTTGGAAGGAAACTCGTGCCACCACATGCCGTGCTATATGGTACATGAGAAACAAGAGAATGCACAATACTTACTACACCATGTCGGTCAATTTGGTGCAAACAATCATTCAGAAAGTGAAGCATTATCATGATATCACACTTCTATGTAAATATGCAAAAATCAGAAACACGGTGGTTAAAGACCCTCAATGGAAACTGCCTCAGGAAAATTGGATAATGCTTAATACCAAAGGAGCGGTTGATAAGGAGAATAAGGTTCGTTGCGAAGATGTTCTTCGTGATAGTAATGACAAATGGATCAAAGATTTTTCCTAAGATATATGATACAACTCTATTTTGATTGTGAAGCTATGAGGTACATATGAAGGCCTCAAAATGCTTAACGTCAACAAAAGCGGAAGAAGTGTAACATTTCAAACTGATTCGAAAGAATCATATGAGAAAATCACAAAGATACTTCAAGGAAAGAAAAAGGTGTTATGCTTACTCAATTTATATGACAAGAACTACAAACTTCAGAAATATATATAATCTCTAGAGTTACTAGAGAGCAAAATAGTTGTGTAGATGCCCTTGCAAAAATAGATAAAAATAATAATGTAAAATTGAAAATCTATGTTTTTTTTCAAGGAAACGAGTATTATTGAAAGGAGTAGAATAAATATTATTGATAAGAAAATCTATGATTGTTGTCCTAGTGAAGTGCAAAAAGAGTATGAGGGATAGTTTTAGTTTTTGTAATTGGCGTTACAAAAAATAATAAGAGATTAAAATGGACTCAAATATAATTAAGAGAGGAATGATATTCAGTAAAAAAAAAAAAGAAAAAAAAAGAAAAAGAGTGCTAGTAGCAGCTCCTATGTTAGGCCAGATAGAGGCATCTCCGAGACAGAATACTTGAGACTGAGTACGGTAGTTTCCTCGATCAACAACCATAGTTCCACCTCCAGAGTTCATTTTTCACATTCTTCAACAACCCAGCTTGTTAATTTCCTTTACTCACATTTTCAAAACCTAAAACCACGATTTCACTTCTCTATTCTCACCAACTTTTAAAACCATGTCAAATAGAAACCGCGGCCGCCCTCATCCTCCTCCGCCACCTCACGCCGCCTTATCTCCACCCATCCTCGATCCAATATTCTCCATGCGAGGAGGAGGAGGAGGAGGCCATCCTCCACATCCATCCCTTCTAGAAGATTTTCGTGAATCCCAATTAGGGTTAGGCCACCGTCCTCTCCACCTCCACCCAGCCGCCGTCATCGAGGAGCGTCTCGCCGTGCAGCACGGCGAGATTCAGGGTCTATTGGGTGACAATCAAAGATTTGCCGCCACACACGTGGCTCTGAAACAGGAGCTGGAGGCTGCTCAGCATGAGCTACAGAGGATGGTGCATTTTAAGGATTCTCTTAGGGCGGATACTGAGGTGAGGATGAGGGAAATGTATGACAGGGCGGGTCAGTTGGAAGCGGAGCTTAGAGGTGCCGAGGCGGCTAGGGCGGAGCTTCAACAGATTCATGGGGATGTTAAGGAGCTTACTGCTGTTAGACAGGATTTGTCTGGACAGGTGCAGGCTATGTCGCAGGATTTAGCCAAGATGACTGCTGATTTGAAACGGATGCCGGCTTTGAGGGCTGATGTTGATGCTATGAAACAAGAATTGCAATGTGCAAGGTAGTACTAGTATTAGTACTGTGATTGTGTTGTCATCTTTGATATTGCGAAAAATTGAAGTTGTGTTGTAGTCAGAGATTAAGAAAAGAACTTGATATTGTGACTGAAATTCATATAATTGTTGGCATTGTGTTGCAATTTAAGCTTTCACTTTGTGACTGCAATTTATATTTATATATGCTACAAACGATTATGATTTAGTTATGATTTTTTTTATGGTTTGTTGTATAGCATGTAAGCCCATATATGCATGATTTTAAATTATGTTTTGAATGTTAGGTGTGTAGGGGGCAGGTGAGCCCTGCAGTATATGTTAACAATATTTTTTATTTTTTTTAAATTTTTTTTGTTGCTTCTTCCCCTTTAGAGCTGCCATTGAGTATGAGAAGAAAGGATTCACGGAAAACTATGAACATGGTCAAGTGATGGAGAAGAAATTAATTGCCATGGCTCGGGAGATGGAAAAGCTTCGTGCGGAGATTGCAAATGCAGAGAAAAGAGCACGTGCTTCTGCTGTTGCTGCCACTGCCGCTGGGAATCCAGGTATAAAATTGGGCTTGTGTGTGTATTTGTATTTGCCATGTGGAATTTCTGTTGATCAATTGACCACATCTTGCCTCTTTCTCTGAAATTCAAGAATTTAGACTAGTAATGTTTTAAATTTGTTTGCTGTCTTTTGCTTTGATTTTATTTGTAGGTCCAGGGTATAATGCAAATTATGGAAATGCTGAGACCGGATATGTCGGAAATCCTGGAAATCCTTACCCGTCCTATTATGGCATGAACCAGGTAACATTTGTTATATTTCAAATGTGTTTTTTTGAGCATTGTTGACTTTATTATACATATTTGATCTGAGCTGAGAAACTAAGTAGACCTGCCCTAATCATAGAATTACTATTGCTTTTCATTTCTCAATTAAACCACTTCCATTCAGGTTTCTTAGAAAATCTTTAAATTGTTTAGTACTTTGGTTGAATTGGGAGGAATGGCCCAGCTATGTAATAGTAAAACCCATAATGGAAAAAAGTGAGCTCAAGAGCTCTAAAATGGTGGAAATGGAAAATGAAAGGATAAACCAGAGTTCAAGAACTCCTTTCCGGAGCAATACCTCAGGGAAACTCTCCTAACCAACTTCTCAACAATATGTCTGAATGCCTTCCTCATTCCCCTCACACTCTCTTTATGACAGAAAATCCCCTAGAATCAAGGAGGGTGCTAACTAACACTTTATTCTGTCTATTTCTACAATCTTCTAGATTGTGCCCAGATGTCCTTCTTGAAAAATAAATCTGTCCTCAAATTTGAGCTTTAGATACAGTCTCCTAAATTCACACTTTATTCCATCTATTTCTACAATCTTCTAGAATGTGCCCAGATGTCCTTGAAAAATAAATCTGTCCTCAAATTTGAGCTTTAGATACAGTCTCCTAAATTGACTCTTGCGTGGTTGTGACGTGAACAACTGTCAGAGGACCCAGGCATGAGAGCATAAGCTATGGCAAACACATATAACTGTGGTGGAACCTACGGCAAACTGCCAATGCTAAACAGTTTCCAGGTTCCCACTGTCGGTAGCTTGTCAAGCTAACTGCAAAATATTGAGCCTCCCGAATAGTCTCAAACCCACTGTCTCAGGTGGAAAATTCTGAAATTCTTCCAAATTTAGAGAGGTCACTATTGCAGCAATCAGAACTTTGAACTAAGATAAAAGAGAGCTTATTAGAAGACTCCAATGTATTTGTAGCTGTCTCTTCTACAATTTCTAGAACTCTGCCCAAACCAAATCTTTCCATCTTTGAGAAGATATTTGTACAGAAAGAAGATCGTAGTACTGATGCCATTTTTGTTTCCGTATTATATTAATCCCCAATTAGGGCAGCCTAATATTCACTAGAAGATAAGAACAATCCAAATAGCACCGAGTCTGGAGAAGCTATTCCAATGCACACACCATATTGACTCACATGTCCCTTATCATCAACAAATCATCCCTATAGATTCAAGCCTTTATCTGTCCATATCACTAGATCAATACTCTTGATGCAGTTTATTACTTTATCTGGCAACTCAGGAGGAAAAGATCAGAAGATTTGCATCACCTGAATCATTTTCTCTGATGAAGAAAAATTCTGCATTTTTATTCCAAGTCTTTGCACATCTCCTCGAGATTTATATCCCTCTTGTTTGGGTCTTGAGCCTTTGGTTCGGGCTGCTTCATCGACTTCACTAGAAGGGTTTGTGGCGAGAACAACATGCGGGCCCTTGAAATTTTCATAGACGACAAACTCACCGAAATAGATCGTGGATGAGACGCCCTACATTCAGAGATTGCTGCAACAGAGGTAGTGTGTACCTGAGATGGAAGCAAGGGTTGACTTTATGTATGCCATTCCTGTCGAATCTGACCTGGATCCGAGTCGGGCTCTACTATGCCCCAGGTTCAAATTTCCTCTCCAATTTACTAGAATTATGTTGGGCCTGGCCCATTAGGTTAAAATGATACCCAAACCATCAATTTGACAATTTTCCAATTTACTCTTACTGTATCATCAATCATGTAAAAATGCGAGGTGCTGGGTTCTAGGGCATATTAGGTTAAAATTGAAGCTACAGACTTTCAAGCAGAATCGAGTTTGTTTCCCAGCCAATTTTTTTGGTAATGCAGCCTATTATCCACCTGTTTCAGTGTTGTCAGTTTGTCTCCATGGCATTATGGCTTTAATGCTTAGTGTATCCGCCATTGGTCACTATACCATGTTTATATGGTGGATTTTTGGTTGATCTCCATAATTCACCATTGATATCTAACCTCCAGATCACCGTGTTTGACGTCTCAAACTGGTCTGTTTAAATTGGTCAATTCGTTATGCGTGGATGACAGGATTGTATTCCATAGCTTGCAATGAACTTTGTTCATTTACTACCCTCAATGTATTTGATTAGTACATTTACAATCCTAAATGAATTTGACTATATATTTATTGTTCATTTTCCACGTTTATGCTGATTTGGATATGTTGTTACATACTAATACTTCTATCGGCAAATTTCAGGTACAGCCTGGTGCGGAGAATTTTCAACAATATGCACCTGGACATGGACCTGCTGCTTGGGGTGCATATGACATGCAGCGAGCTCAGGGACATCGATAGACTTCTGTCCTGTTACAAAATCTTATAACTGGTTACCTGGACTGCCACTTTCTAGATTGGTTCAAGGTTCTACTCATGGGTATCATGAGAAGTTGTTTCTTAGATGCTCCTCAAAATTGTAGTTATATCAGAAGGCCTTTATTGGCTTGATCACGCAGTAGATGGTGTTTGTCTACAGTGTCATTAATTGAATATCTTGTTATATAGTAACAGCCAATTTTAGTGGTGTGGCATTTATGCTAAGCTTACACCTTTGCCTTTAGCTTATTATGTTTTTCTTCCACTCCTATCTCATATTGATATATAAGGTTGGCTATCATCAACATTGTTCACTTACAGTTAGATTTTATGTAAATACTAGTTGCGGTTAATCACCACCAAAGAGAACTAGTTAAATAAAAGCTGCCCCTTTGTTCGCTCGTTCACTTGTAAGCTGTAATAGGCTTTCAGAAAATGGTTTGAATTTGCTTAAGACATCATGCATAAGAGAGAATACAACTGTTCACAAAATAACAAACACAAAATAAGAGAACCAATCAAGGGATTACATAAGAACTTGAAAATGTTGCTGAATTAAATCGCCATTATTAGAGTTAAAGTCCTTTTTCTTGGCTTTTAACCACCCATAAACAACAATCTTAACTTTATCGGGCATCTACTCACAATTTGACATGTGTGATGATACACATTATTATGAAGAACACAAAAGACACTTAACCATTTTAGTATAGCTGACTACACATCTCTAAAGAAATCGCCTTCGAAGAATAGATGATTAGCATTTTTTTCTAACCCGGAATCCCTTGAGCAAACCAACTAATTTTGTTCTAAAATACCACGAAGTTAAGTTATCCTTTGTCGGAAGCTTATAGAGAGATTTTTAGAGAAAGAATATGAGAACCTGTATGTTTCTTTTACTGGGTAACCTTTGTCATTATCGAGGCTCCGAGTCCATTTATCTGAAACGTTAACTACCTAACCACATGAACCAACAAAGAACAATACTATATAACCTTCTCTTCCTTCCATGCAAAAAGGTATTGCCGCCACCTCCAATCACCGCCGTCAAGATTCCACCCCCAACTTGTTCATCTCAACCACTAATATATTATTCACATAAAGCTCTTACAAGTAAGATAAATTCTTATGGGTGGGAGTGAGGAAGAGAGTAAAATTAATTACATTAGTTAGGATAAGGTGTGCATTCCTTTAGAATAGGGTGGTTTGAAAATAAGAAACTTGAAATTTTTGATCTTGCATTGTTAGAAAAATAGGAATGGAAATCAAATAAAAAAGGAGGAGACTTTAGTATAAAGTGTTGGTAAATAGTAATGGGATGAACGAGGAGACAATTAGTGTAGGGATAGAGGTAGATTGTTTTGGTGGAAGGATATTTTTCAATTAGATATAGGTGGTCGAGAGTCTACTCATTCTTACCCAGTAAAAAAAGTCTATAAAGGTCTTTTGACAGAAATGCCAAACTCTTCTAACGCGTTACGGTGGAAAGATTTTCATAAAGCAATGCCATCAAAAGTTTCATGTTTTAGTATGAAGATTGTTTCAAAATATAATTGATTCAAATATATTATATTTAGACGATGTGTGATTGAGCATGGATCTTTTACCTTGGGTATGATCGTGCAGGAGCTTAGTGTCAGTATTGAAGTTGCATGTCTCTAATGCATTAAAGAGGGACGTTTATGAGATTTTGTTGTTTGTCTCTTAAGTCTTACATTGAATTTATTTTTATATTTGAGTCTTCTCTTCAATTATGCATTTTTAAGGATCGAGTTTTAGATATGTATTTTAGCATCAAACTTTTTGTATTTGAGCATGGATATTATGCATAAAATCAACTAATCGATATTTTGGAACAAGAATCATAATTGAGAATAATTCAAATCATGTCAAAAGTAGAATCTCAAAACATATTTGAAAACTTGAATTTTTAAGATTTTGGATGTGTGATTCAAATCACACAATCTCTTGAGTAAAATTAAACCAGACAAGAAAGACTCATGATTTTGTGTAAACTTGTGAGTCTAATCACAACTTACCGCTGATTCATATCATACACTTCATGAGTCGAATCACAATTTGTACATGAGTCGAATCACAAGTCTTTTTTTAGCCTATACTAAGTTTGAGCTGAATCATGATCAAACCATGACTCAAATCATAGTCTGTGTGAGTCGAATCACGCTTTATTCTTGACTCGAATTACAGAAAAACAAGTCTTTCTTTAAGTGCATATCTTATTCCACACCACTTTGCTACTTGACTAAAATCATCAAATGTTCTTAACTTGAATCAAACATGAATTTTTTTTGTGTGTGTTTCATCTCCAGCACCTATAAATCATTTTTAACTCTCAAATCTTTCATAATATTAGAAAATATACACTTTAATTGATGATTTGAAAACTCACAAACCATTTGTTCTTTCGTTTTCAAAAGAGTTTTGCATCTTTCTTGAACACTTGCAAACTGTTCCTTTCATCTTCTATCTCATTCTTTTTTCATTGTTGCATGGATCCGAATCTTATATTTGAATATTCATGATTGATTAAGGAGAATTACCCCCTGAGATGTCCTCCTAAAATTTTAAAATACTAAGTCTTTTCCCCCCCTAAGGGTAAAAATTACCTCTTGTAATTTTTTTTATTTACCCCCTAGATTCAGTGTTAAACGCTTATGGGAGTAATTAAAAATATATATATTACAGAGGATATTCTAAAAAATAATAATTAAAGGGGATAAAATAAAACTCGCATATATTACAGGAGAGACTTGTCCATTTAACCCTTAAATATATGCAAGCATATAAAGAGACTTTTAGAGAAACAATTATTCCAAATGATCTTCATAGGCACCAAATGAATTGACTAAGACTTGATTGATGATAACTTATATGTGATGCAATTGGAAGTCATAGAGAATAACAAGCGCTAAACCTAGAATGAAAACAAGAATGCAAGCGCAAAACCTGTAAGATAAGCTATAGAGTCCATCAGAAATAAAGAAAAATTCAAATTTTATTATATGAAAGATAATCTTTATGGGCACGCCAAAAATATTTAAATACATAAAACAAAATAATCCTAATGGGTTGGGCCTTATGGGTCTTTAATCCAAAACATAATTAAATAAAACAAATCAAATAGAAATCGCTTAAATATTAAAATGCTTTTCGACACGTAATTTCTTCTTCGATACACGCGACTAGTCTTCCGACATCAGTCTTTTCCACCTCTAAAGAACTCGATCCCGAGTTCTCTTATTGATAAAGAGCCTTATCTGCTTGTGTTGTACCCCAAAATTTTCCTTTTCATGTTTTTCAAGATCTTATCTTACATGGGTGGTTACAAACACTTGCTTAGAGAAAATATATTTTTTTTTTAAAATTAATCAAGTGTCTTTCGATTGGAATATGAACAAGTACTTCGATTGGGCATTTGGAACTCTTCGATCATGCTTTGATTAGTGAGCTTCAATTGGGTATTTGGCACCCTTCGAGCAAGCTTTGGTCCACAAACTTCATTCCAGCAGTAGCCCCTACAGGGTTGGCTTAGACTCACAAGCAGTAATCTCTTATACGCTTGCTTCGATTGAGCAATGGCCTCCTGCAGGTTGGTTTTGATTCACAAGGAAAAATCCTCTTCATGCTTGCCTTGGATTCACCAGGAAAAGGCCTATCAACTTGCCTTAGATTTATAAGGCAAAAGGCCTCTTTCGACTTGCCTTTGATGCACAAGGTAAAGGCCCCCTCTTCAGCTTGCCTTCAGCGCACTAGGAAAATCCTCCCTCTATGTTTGCCTTCAGCACGCAAAGCATAAGGCATACATGTGAGCTATTCGAAAGACACACAAAAGGGCCATTCGAAGGATATACTTGTGGTCCATTCGAAGGAAACATATAATTATTGAAAATAAGTTTGCCTTATGATAAGTCTTGGTCCAAGTTGCTTACTGGCCCAAAAGCCAACATGTTGCAAAGCCCAAGCCTCCTGCACAATTGCATTTGAAGGAGGTAACAAGTGAAGTTTCGACTGGCCAGAAAGGAGCTTTCATTTGGGCTAGTTGAAGAGTTTAAATCAAGCTACCAAGACAAATAGGGGATCAATCGAAGAAGCCCCAATGATAAGGATTGGAACCATTCGAAGGAGGCAACTCTGGGCCAATCGAAGAGCAAGGATAAGATGAACTTCGAAGGCATGTTAATAAAGTGTCCTTCAATTGGCATATCAGAAAAAGATGTCTTTTGATAAGCATATTAACAAAATCAAACAATCAGTGCAGATGTTAACTTAATCTAAGAAGTTATGATAACAAAGGTTTTGAAAAATTCGAATCAAATCTCACAACCATCGAAAAGGATAATGCTTGGGGGATGATCGAAGACATGCTGATAAGGAAAACAATGAGTAGTTCGAATTCATACAAGGCGCCAATCATCACCTGTCCAGGTTCATCCAAAATTCCAAAATGACATGAAAAGTCTCTAAATGGCAATATTTTAATGTGTCTGATTTTGTCTTCAAAGCCTAGTTAATGGCTGCCCCTTATCATTTCCATGCATATCACATCCCTATAAATATAGTTCTAAAGATACATTGTCAAGGGCGGAGAAAAAAACCATAGAAAAGAAAGAAGCACTCTTGCCACACTCACACCACCTGCCAGACGCTGCATCACACACAATACTTATTACCAATTGAAGCTGCAGGCTGACCGCCCACAGAAACATTTTTGCCTATACATACATCATCCAGACGAAAACCTTGCCTCCAGGTACACACATTGCCCGATACAAGCCACACGAAGGCTGCATGAAATACATCAAAGCTGCCAGAATCAAAGCACACTTTACAAGCCATCTCCATCCAAAACAAAGCATAGCATTGGTAACAAACCTTCGATCTTAAGTTCATCTTATGTGTAAGTTAATTTTGATTGTTGTATGACATATTAACACTTATAGTTTGTTCGATTTGTATTCAGG